TCTGACGATTTTGGTGGCTTGAGCCGTACTTGTGATGAGGTTGTAAGCGTTGAGAAGAGGAGAAATTCTGGATACATACTGACTTTGGGAATACATGGATCATGTCATTCCTCTGCGCAAAATAGCTCCCCCTTTATGCCAGTAAGCATCAGGGGCTTAAGAATGTCAACGAGTCTCTGCGAATCTGACACTTACGTTTTACTCTGATTTCTCCTAATTTCTCATTTAATTTTAGCAGCTAGCCCTCTGATAGTCTTTGAAAATGCCTGGGGCCACGTTGCTGCTTCATGGCCTTAGTAAAGCCTGCTGTCTGGAGAATCCTGCCCCAGGTATCCATGCACACGGCCACCTCCCTCTTCTCTTTTGGGTCTTTGTGCTACTCTTACCACTTGTGCAACACAGTCTGCTCTAGCTCCTACTTAAAGACGAAGCATCCTCCCAACTTGTCATTTTTGGTCTCCTTTCTCCTGCTCTGTTACTCTCCAATTTTAGCACTTACCACCATTTCACATCCTAACTAATAGACAGACTATGTATGTCAGTCAATTGCATATTATCCTCCACCTGAATGTGAACTCCATGAAGGCAGGGGTTTTTGTCTCCTTTACTGATAATGTCCTGAATGTTTATTATGGTACCTAACACGTGGTAGATGATGAGTAAATATTACCAGAAGTAGTAGCAAATACGAAATAAGTTAACTCTTTTCAAAAGCCGAGGACTATTTGAACACTTGCTAAGTAAGAAAGTACTATTTTATAGGAGTTAGATGATGTTAACTTAGCCTCATTAGCTTTTTGCCTCTCTGGTTATTTATTCAGTTTTTCCCAAAGCCTTTATATGCTTAAGGGAAGCTCAGTAATTACTTGTTGTCTACTCTGTTGCAAACACTGCGGCTGGCATCTGGGATACATGAGCCTCCTCTAGGAGGAGAGCTACTGCAGTATATCAACAGTTATAATCAAGTGCACTGGGTGTGTTGTAAAGGATAATTACGTTACTGAAGTCTGGAGTGTTGATGATCCATCTGATCCAGACGCAGAGAAGCATGTGGAATTGAAAGATTATTATACTTACAGGCCCTGGAGAGGAAGGGGCGTGCCATGCAGGGGGCCACATGGGAGGAGTGCCGAGTGAGCAGGCTCAATCAAACAGGTCCAGGAGCCAGAGGATAGAGCGAGGGTCCATAGGAAGTGGCTTACTAGGGGGTCGGGGTTGGGTACACAAGCAAAAGAGTGAGTCAGTTTCATTGGCGTGTTCGAATGTCACTAGGTCACCGTCACGGGAGGGCAAGCAGGGGGAACTTGTGACAGGGACCAGCCTTTATCACTCTGTGCACCTGGTTGCCGGGGCCAGGTCTCACAGCCTGTCTAGTAAGAAGGTGGAGACCTCAGGAAATCAAAAGTTTTAAAAATTTACAACACACTGGGTGATACTAGAAATAAACACAAGGCTTTGGATCCACAGAGAAAAGGCACCCTGGCAGTCTGTAAACAGTCCATTTCAGATTGAATGCTTTCCCAGTGGCATTGTAGTCCTAAAGACAGAAGTCTGGCCGCTTAAAACCTAGGTAAGCGTGCAGGGCTGGTGTCTGTCTCCCTCCTATCTCTGTGAATATCAGATGCCCTACTTACAGCCAGAGCCAGAACCCTCCCCCACCCAGCCTGCAGCCTGCAGCCTGCATTGAACCTCTAATGTTTTTAATCAGTCTTGCTAAATACTTCCTGTAGGGAGAATGCGTAGTGATGAGAAGTAATCTTGCGGCTTCTTTATTCTGAAAAATTCAATCACTGATCTACAGATACTGCTTACTCATCATGATACCCCAGTGTAGAAGATGGGGATTAAATTTCAGCCTTAAAGGTTGTGGGATCCCTCAAGGCTTAGAGTATGGTAATGAAAAATTGAGAACCTAAAAACGGGATTCCAGAATCTGCATAGTGAATAAACTCTCACCAGGCCTTGCTTCTGATGTGAATTTAGGATTATGTGCATAGGAATATGCCATGTGCTTTTCACTGGAGCCTTAGTGCTTTGTCTATATTTCACATGTAACTCCTTTTCATGTCTTTTTCTTCAGTTTCAAACAAATTCTCTTTAGTTTCTTGAGGTCATATGTGATTTCTGGGCCTTTCTTCACTGGTCTTACTAAGTATGTAAGTACTAGGAAGGCCTCCTGGTTACAATTAGAAGCCATTGACCTGACTCGATACTCTAAACAGAAGCTGTCTCCTTGGCAGGTCTATGCCTGGTTGCTTACCAGTGACCCCCTGCCTCTGAAGGTGAGCGCATGTCCCTATCTTTGCCTTTGTATTCAGAGTAATGCATGTTTCCCAGGATCCGTGGTCTTCCTGGACCCCAACTCTAATTCTTTGAGTTCTTGAAAGATCTCCAAAACTAGTTATTAGGTCCTACACATGGGTGGTACGCTTGTCTTAAAATATGCTGACTTGAGCATGAAGCCACCTGATCTAAAGTAAAAATTCCCGTTCTTCCTACACTCCAGTAAAGTCAGAAATAGAAAATTCATTTCAAATGTCTTGGCTCTTGTATGTAATTTTCCTTTTGTGCTTTTGTGGGACCGCATTCTGATTTACATGTTCTCACAGTATGGCAGTGAATCTGTTTCTTTCTTACGTGGATGTGTCCTTTCTTACAGTGTCTCCACTTACTTATTCATCAAACACTTTGCTGTCTTGTGTTAGGCATTGTTACCCGGGCTGTCACATTGGAACCAGAGGACACAGCCTTTGGCTTCGTGGACTTTAGACCACTTATTGTTCCTCTAAGAACCATACAGGTCATATTGGTGCTTGGTTAACATACTATTCTTTTAAAATCATGGTGTCTTGGGGCACCTGGGTGGCCCAGTTGGTTGAGTGTCCAACTCTTGATTTTGCCTCAGGTCATGATCTCAGGTTCGTGAGTTCGAGCCCCACTTCTGGCTCTGCACTGACCGCGCAGAACCTGCTTGGGGAGTTTTCTCTCTCTGTGTCTCTCTCCCCCTTCTCTCACTCATATGTGCTCTTTCTCAAAGTAAATCAATTTTAAAATAAACAAATAAAAATAAAATCATGACGTCCCTCTGACAAAATGTTATTTAAGCCTTCTTCTCATGAACTATTGTAAAAACCTGAAAACCGATACTCCCAATATTTTTAATTAAAAAAAAATTTTTTTAATGTTTATTTGTTTTTGAGAATGAGAGAGAGCACGAGCAGGGGAGGGGCAGAGAGAGAGGGAAACACAGAAACCAAAGCAGGCTCCATACTCTGAGCTGTCAGCACAGAACCCAACTCAGGGCTCAAACCCACGAACTGTGAGATCATGACCCAAGCTGAAGTCAGACGCTTAAATTGACTGAGCCATCCCAGTGCCCCCCAATACTCCCTAGTTTTCAACGATTTCTGTTTTATTCCAGATAGAGTGATTATTACAGTCAGTTTTTATTGCTTGTAAGGTTTTCTTACGATATTTTAATTAAGTTCTTTAATACTTCCTCTTCCATGATGAATGTGCCAACTTTGACTATGTTGTTGCATTATAAGGTTAGGATGATCGCAAGAAGGCAAGTAGGGTCAAGGGAAGAGACGGCGCCTCCAGCTCTGTTCTCCGGGAGCCTTTTGGTACCTGCTCTGTGCAGGAGAAGGTTACTCCACCCCTCTCGTTCCTTGCAGCCCGTTTTCACCTTTAGTCTTACATAGAAGGAAAGCAGCACGGTAATTTTATATACAAATATCCTGGAAATATATTTTCAACAAAAGGGGACCATTTAAATGAATTACACTTTAGTTACAGGAAATGCTATCTTGAAAACATTAAGTGAAAAAATAACATCAAACTACAGGTAACAATCACAAAAATGTTAATATAACTGTAATAGTACCAAAAATGATAAAGGCAATAGAAGAGTAGCTAATATTTTTATTTATTTTTAAAGTTTGGGGGCGCCTGGGTGGCGCAGTCGGTTAAGCGTCCGGCTTCAGCCAGGTCACGATCTCGCGGACCGTGAGTTCGAGCCCCGCGTCAGGCTCTGGGCTGATGGCTCGGAGCCTGGAGCCTGTTTCCGATTCTGTGTCTCCCTCTCTCTCTGCCCCTCCCCCGTTCATGCTCTGTCTCTCTCTGTCCCAAAAATAAATAAAAACGTTGAAAAAAAAAATTAAAAAAAAAAAAGTTTGTTCATTTGCTAATGTTTGTTTGTTTGTTTGTTTATTTTTGTGAGAAAGAAGAGCTGAGCAGAGCGATAGTCCCAAGCAGGCTCTGCACTGACACGAGGCTCAATCCCACAAACCATGAGATTCTGACCTGAGCCGAAATCAAGAGTAGGACACTCAACAGACTGAGCCACCCGGGCACCTCAGTAGCTAATATTTTTTAAGCAATCGCTATATCACGAACAGGTTCTAGATGCTTTACACTTAATTCTTTTAATTACTTCATCAAACCCCACAGCAACCTTATCAGGTGGCAAACACCATCCAACTTTTCCATGTGAGCGGAAAAATGAAGTACTGAGAGTTTAGGCAATATTGCTAGGTTCAGTGAAAAGATGATACCCATCCTCAAGACACTTGGATTCTAATGGTGTGACAAACCTGTGAAACAGGTGTGGTGTCTGTCACGAGCCGTGTGTTACCAGGGAAGACGCCACAGGTTCACGACGGGATTCCATCAATTGTGAAACCAGAGAAGATTCCACATGGAAGAAACACGTGAACAGAGTTGTAAAGAAAGGACTGCCTAGTTTTTCGGGTGAACAGGCAGATGGGAAAAAGCTAAAAAGAGTTGGTCTCAAAATGGGACCGCCACCCACCAATTATGTGACTATACACAAGTAGCTTTAATCCTTCATCTGAACAACAGAAATGATATCTACTATCTCTTTATGGCTTATCAAGTAAAATAGAGTTGATTGAGAACTCTTTTTAGTTATTAGATACTATTCAGTTATTGAAAACTCTTTAAATACGTGACTCTCCCTTTTGCTTCGCCTTGCTTAGGTAGATGTAATTGTGACCTTGGGAGGTCTCGGTGGGCGTTTTGACCAGATCATGGCATCTGTGAGCACCCTGTTCCAAGTTACTTGCATCACTCCTGTGCCGATTATAATAATCCAAGAGGAATCTCTCATCTACCTGCTCCAACCAGTAAGTGAAGAATAAGTATAATGTCAGCACATTGCTTCCATAAAACTTCTAACATTTGAGTAGACTAGAACGAAACATGAGCCTAGCGTGTGTCTTTGAATTTGACACCTGAGGGAAGTTGACCATGTTTGCTTCATTTTATCATGCCCCGAAAAAAAAAATCGCATAACTTTTAATTAAATTGACTAAGAATTAAATTTAGCTCTTTTACATTTTGAGCAGCTAAATGTGAATGCCACTTGAGAAACATCTCAACAGAGGAAGCCCAAAGCTTGGCAAATATTTCAAACGGAATTCTCATATATTTTCAGTGCTGTCGTTATAACTGGAAACTGGATTTGATTTTGTTAAGCACTAAAAAAAAAAATTTTTAGCTTTTACTCTTCATAAGTTGCCTGCTTATTAATTTCACTGCTTCAGAATACATTTCTAATGATCAATGTCATTCACTTCCCCTGATGAATATCATGGAAATTTTCTATCGATCCAGTGCTGAGAACAGAATCCTTATTAAATAAACCAGTTTTATAAGGTTGATCAGTGGGCTCCTCTAGAAAAGTAATCGTTTGGTAACGTTTTTAAAAGAGTGGACAGTTGTTCTTCCTTGCCTCTCACTGTCATGTGCTGCTTACAGCGTTGCTCCTGCCCCATCTGCCAGTCTCCCTCTGCAGCATGCTGTTACCTAGAAATTGTTGTTTGGTTAATATAGTGGGTATCAGGCACACTCCCTGCTGTTCAGCCAGCTTTGCATTTTTTTTTTTTCTGGCTCTTTGTATTGCCTAGCTTTGTTGTTTTCTGGAAAACTTCCTAAGAGGTGTGGAAAGGGAGCTGAAGAATTCAGTTTTCAAACTCCATACTCTCCATGGATTTAGTCAACGAACAGTTTATGAAGTGCCTGCTCTTTTTTTTTAATCTTTTTTTAACATTTATTTATTTTCGAGAGACAGACAGAGACAGAGCACAAGCAGGGGAGGGGCAGAGAGAGAGAGAGGGAGACACAGAATCTGAAGTAGGCTCTGGGCTCTGAGCTGTCAGCACAGAGCCTGATGCGGGGATCGAACCCATAAACTGTGAGATCATGACCTGAGCTGAAGTCAGACGCTCAACCGACGGAGCCACCCAGGCGCCCCTGGAGTGCCTGTTTATTGCAGTGCTAGGCAGTTGAGGAGTCAAAGAAAATACTGACATGATCTTTGCTCTCTAGCACATGTCCAGTGAAGAAGTCATTAATAAAAACATAAGATGTAAAGCACGAAGATGAAAGATTATATAATTTGCTCATACGTGCAGTAAGGGAAGTCCACCCAGGGGCACTCACATTTTATTCACTCCGTTAACTCAACAAATACTTATTGGGTACCTGCTATGTGCCAGGCACTTACCAGGGATACAGAAGCCAACTAAAGAGACAAAAATCCCTTGTTTTCGTGGAACATACATTCTCTTGAGGTTACAGTGCAGCAGAATCCTCCAGGATGAGTGGATGTTTGCTATGGGAGATGATGAGAAAGTCATTTAAGGCAGAAAGGAGCCACTAAAGAAAGGTGGAGGCATAAGGTACATTGTAGGATCTGCAGGTAATTCTGTACAGCAGTGTGGAAGATGCTAGAAGATAAGACTAAAAACTACTTTGATTGTGAAGAGCCTTGAATTCTACACAGTGGAGTGTGGACTTTTTCGCTAGAGGTTATGGGAAGTCATTAATAGATTTCACTTAGTGGTATGATGTGAGCAGATATGCCTCTTAGATTTCTAATTGTGTATTTGTTAAATACCTATAATTTCCTAACAGTTTCTGAAGGGTTAAAGTTTCTACCATTGTGAATCATTGAGCTTTATTACATTATATATACTATATTGATGATTTGATGGCTAAAGTAGTCAACCGTAACTTGGCTGTATGTAGATATTCTAGTTAATAGATTACAAGTTAGTTGACGCTGTACTAAAATTAAAAAGCAAGTTAAAAAATAAAATTGGAAGATTAACTGGTAGAAAAAAATCATATCTGAAAAATGACTTTTGCTCTTAAGAGCTTTTCAGTGTTTCTGGTATTCCCTACTATCACTGGAATGTGTATGATTTTGGACTTCCTAAAATGCGTTCAGCTTGAGATTCCTTGGATTTCCGCCCTCTGCAGATGCTGTCTGTCATCCGTTTGGGAAACTCTCAGCCATTATTTTTTCAATATTGTCTCTGCCCTATTCTCCTTCTCCCTTCCTCTGTAACTCTGCTTAACTCTACCTAAGATGCTCTAATTGTATCATGTCCATCTCAGCACTTCTCTTTCATATTTTCTATGCTGTAACCTCTCTGGGCTTCACTCAGAAGCTCATCACCTGTGTTCCACATCACCCTTCTGCTTCAGCCATGTCTGTTTTGCTGCTAAAACCATCCACGGTGTTTAAAATTCCTGCCATGATTCTTCTTTCTTGTATGCCTGTCCTCTCGTCAGTGTTTCAAGATTCTTTCTTAAAACATAATTGTCATACTTATTTTATGGTCAAGAATAATTCTAGTACCTGTAGTTCTTTGTAAGCCCGCTGTCTTTTGTATTCATTTTTGCTTCTATATTTTGTCAACTCGATTCCTTCTGTGTGTTGTGAATTTTGGCGATGACCTTATATTTCTGGGAACTTTCCTGTGGGAATTGTTTGAAGTGTGAGTTAAAAGTGAGTCCAAGGGGGAGTTTAGAGCAGACTCCCAACCCAGTTATTCACAGGCATTAACAACTCAGGACATCTTGCTGGAGACTTTTTGACCATCTAGGTGGTGTGAATTCTGAAGGCAGTATGTTGCGAGTTTGACTTCCGGTTACAGGTGCTCACGGGAGACTTGCTCCCTCTTCTCAGCTACAGGGTGCCTGGGTTTGGTCAGGGTTTTCCTGGCCGTCCAGTGGAAGTGTTATTTATATTCATCTTACACTGAGAGTCTCTGCCTTATCTGGTGCACTCTCCTGCACTCACACCTTGGAGAAGCCTTGGGCTTTGTCTCCTGATGACTTTCTGTACTTGGATGTCTTGGAAACCAAAGCTCAAGTTCATCTGCTTTGGTAAACACCAAGTATTTCAGAGGTGAAAGTTAGATGTGGTGTTCAGTCCAACCTTAGTTTTTGGCTTCTGAGTATTCTTAAAACAAAAGAAAAAAAACACAGATGTTTGATGCATTTTAAAAGATTCTTTTTAATTTTTTTCTAGCACTTTTTATTGCTTTAAGTTGGTCAGGATGCTAATTTATCATAGTGTCTCTGTAAGACAGGTCTTACCCTGCCTGTGTTGCAGGAATAAACTCCCAATCTCAGAGGTTTAACTGAGATTGAGTTTTTAAAGTTTTTTTTCTCATCAGTGGAGTATCTGGTCTGGTTTCGGCGGCTTCCTCCATTTTATATCTAAGCCAACTGGAAGAAATTGCAGCATCTGGAGGAAAAGATTGCTAGAAAGTGGCACTGCATGTTTTTAAAGGCCAGGCCTGGCCATGTTTATATCACCTTTGGTGGGAATACAGTGACACTCCCCAGCCCACTGCAAGGCCTTCTGGGAAAGGAAGGCGGTGGTCAGGGAAAGGAATCGCTTTGTGAGCACAGAGCATGGTCTCTCTCAAACCGCCAGCAACTGAAGTTGGGGATGAAAAGTCTGGAATCATGACCTTAGATCATTTCTAGGAGTATAATTTTTTTCTCATTTATACGATATGTTAAACTTTGATTAGTTGTTAAAACAGAATCCTCCTGGGGCACCTGGGTGGCTCAGTCAGTTGAATGTCCAGCTGTGGCTCAGGTCATGATCTCACGGTCTGTAAGTTCAAGCCCCACATCAAGCTCTGTGCTGACAGCTCAGAGCCTGGAGCCTGCTTTGGATCCTGTGTTTCCCTCTCTCTCTCTGCCCCTTCCTCACTTTTGCTCTGTCTCTCTCACTCTTTCTCTCAAAAATAAATAAACATTAAAAAAATAAAATAAAATGAAAACAGAATCCTCAGTTCTCCAAACATAATTATCATTGCAAGTGTACCTGTATAGCCTACGTGCCCCAAAACAATGCCTTCTGGATTCTCTTTCTGGTCATTGTAATTGTGTCTCATTTGCTTCTCCTAAGAAAGTAATTATTACATAGTGTGGGGCACAAAGCTCTGCATGATCACACCCCCTGTCATGTAGAGGGGTGACAGTATTTAGCATAGACTTCGCCTCTTGCTTTACCAGTCCTGGCTTTGCTCCTGTTTGGCACTCAGTTCCAGAGAAATCTTCCCAGAGACACATACTAGGTTCCTACTTTTCAGTTGCTTTTAGGAAGAGACCACTAAGACAATTTAGTGATATAAATGCAAAAGTCAAAATGAGTGTGTTTGAGGGTTTAGGATATGAACAATCTTATGTTGTATTGTATATATTGTATATATATTGTATCCATGATCCCTCCCTGACTTGAGCTCTGTCTCTTTCTCTCTCTCTCTTTCAAAACTAAATAAACATTTAAAAAAAATTTAAAAACTCGGGGCGCCTCGGTGGCTCCGTCGGTTACTTAACCAACTTCAGCTCAGGTCATGATCTCACAGTCTGTGAGTTTGAGCCCCACGTCGGGCTCTGTGCTGACAGCTCAGAGCCTGGAGCCTGCTTCGGATTCTGTGTCTCCCTCTTTCTCTGACCCTCCCCTGTTCATGCTCTGTCTCTCTCTGTCTCAAAAATAAATAAACATTAAAAAAAATTAAACGATGTCTACAGTTACTGTTCGTTAACAGGATTGATCATAATCATCATCACGATGGACAGAAGAAACCTCATAACTTGAAATTGAAACTGTTTTCAAATATTGTGGAACTAGGGCCCAAGAAAATCAATCCAGTATGCTTCAGTGCCAAATAAAGAATGGTTAAAATTTTTTTAATGTATTTTTTTAATTGAAAGTCAACAAATAGCTGTTTTTGAAAAGGAAGTTAACTTTGGGGCTTTTACAAGAAGCATCTAATTTGAGCTTCATAACAATACCACAAGGAAAGCAGGACAG